AAGCCTGGGAGAAGCCTTGCGAGGGTGAATGTGGGACATGGGACAAGGAATTAGGTGGGAGCATAAGTGAAAAGTGAGGTGCAGGAGTGACAGTATCTTTTAAATGAAGCATGAAAAGCTGCATGATGTGCATAGTGGGACAGGGCACCTGCTGTGAGACAAGTGATACCTCTGGTCAGAATGCTTCCAGAATTGCATACTTGTCAAGCAAAAGAGAGGATGTTTCAAACTTTGGGGTGTGCTTTGGAGAGTGGGAAGATAATCCCCGCTAATGCCCATTGGTGAAGAATCCTCCTGTGATACCACTTGGCTCAAGTGGTTTCTGTTGCCCTTGTCCTGGCATCTGGGAGGAGGGGTTGGAGCCAGATCAGGGTTGGCAATAACACAGTTGTTTACTGGATGGGTTGCTGTAGCTGTTGACCCTGCTTTAATCTCTGGATTGCCTCTCCTTGCTCTCTGCAGCTTTAGTCCACCACCCTCCTGCCATTACCCTGAGCAGCTGGAGACTGCAGGGAACTTGGAGACCACGTACTGCCAGTACAGCAGCCAGGGGGGAATTTACCAGCTGTCCCAATATTCCCAGCAGCACCAGCTCTCCCAGTTCTGCCAACTGCCAGATCACCTGGCCACCAATTTGCTCTCCAGTGACCACCTCCCTCCTCCAACACCCCCTGAGTCCCATTCAGCTTTCCTGGCCTTACCTGGTAACACTGGAGCAGTAACCTATGGAGCCACACAAGGCTATGGACAAAACCACATGGGGGGACAGCTTGTGCCGCAGCAGTCAAGTGGAATCTCAGGTAAATTTCTGAAATATTTTGTCATCCTGCATCTCTGGAGTAACTAAACCATACCCTGCAACACTCAGGATGATCAGTGGTTTTACTGGTGGCTGTGACAGAAAGTAGAAACGTGCACATGCATGCACAGATATATAGATATATATGTATGTGTGTATATATATATATATATATGGGCCCATCTTTTTTTCTAATTTCCTTGTATGCTTGTGTTTTTTTTTTTTAAGTGCTGAGTGACCCATTCATTTGAATCAAAAGTTACTACACAGGTTGCACATGTCAGAAAGAGCATTAAATGTGAATGTGTCAGGTAGTGCAGTAGTTTTTCTCTGGACTGAAGAACTAACTTTTGCAGGAGTGTACTGTTGTGCAAGTGAACATGCCTTTGGTATATGTGGGTGGGAATCAAGGGTGCAAAATCGAAAAGGTGCCACAGCAAGTGGAATAGTTGGAGGTAGGAAGAAAAACAGGCTTTTCACTCTGTTGGGCTCCTGCAGAAACCAGTTTGAAGTTTCATATCTTGCGGTAGTGCAAAAGAAGAGAGAGACAGAAGCCAGTAGAGTATGCATATAGAGTCTTTCTTTTTCTTCCTCTGGTTTGAATTTGCAACAGATTAAGGCACTTCTGCATAATTTTCTGAAAAGTAACTAGGTGAAACTGGCACTGTTGGTCTCTTTGTTTTGTGTCCAGGCTTTGTATTTTGAAGTTATTCAAGCCCAAGTATAATCAAATGATAAACCATTGCAGTTAGTTTATTTGGACTGTCAGGTTTGTTGAATTAAGCTCACAGTCCAAAAACTACATGTCTTGTCTTATCACATAAGAGAATAGTTTCAGATCACAGATGCTGCTGCTGGTTTTGTACCAGTCTTGTGGACCTTGTTAGGGGGGGAAGTCTGACTCAGAGTCTGACTCACAGCAGGCTGCAAACTGGCTCTTGTTCCCCTTATTCCTGCTGACATTGTCCAGGCCAGGTTGGCAGCACCTGTGCTATCTACCACACTTGGCCTGTCTCCCCTCTCTGGTTTCAAGGCATAATATTCTTCTCAGTGGTTTTTCAGTCTGAAGTGCCAGAAATAATGAGAGGGCTGTGCCCCAGTGCACCAAATTAACATTTTTATAGCGTGATGCCAAAGTGTGTGTTGCATTCTTTGGGGCACATTGTGTGAGCATAAGGGGTGTGTAAAGGTGCAGGCTGATAAAGTTGAAAGATTGTTGAAGGAACAGAGGCAGAGTTGATATTCTCTTACTCTGTCCAGAGCACAATCAGCAGTGCGTGGCTGTTCTGTTTGAGGAAGGGATCCTACAACTGTTTTGACCAAGTTCACAGAATCATGAAATGGTTTAGGTAGGAAGAGACTTTAAGGATCGTCCAGTTCCAACCCCTTGCCATGGGCAGGAACACCTTCCACTATCCCAGGTTGTTCAGAGCCCCATCCAACCTGGCCTTGGACACTTCCAGGGATGGGGCAGCCACAGCTTCTCTGGGCAACCTGCCTCACTACTCTCACAGGGAAGAATTTCTTCCTAAAAAGGTTCCAGGTTCCCAAAGTGCAGTGGGCAGGGAACCAGTCTGTCAGTGCAGACACACCCGTGAGTCTTACTTCACCGAGTAAGCAAGTGGACAGCTTAGTTGGATTATAGCTATTACTTAGCAATACATTCCTGCTTCCAGCTTCCATAAATGAAAGTGAAGATTAAACATTCAGGTTATGCTTGACAGAGTTGGAACCTCTTGGAAAATAGGAGTGGAGAAAAAAAATTGGGGGGTGGGTGTCTCTAATATTGTTACATACTCTCAGGATCAGTGCTGAGTGACATCATGATTTCTTTTTACATTATAACAATGCTATGAATTTCCAAGATTTTTCCTCCTAAGAACTACCTTTTGGATAAAAACACTGCAGCGTAAACAGCAAAGTGATCCTTTATCTATATGTGGTGTCTGCTCTACTGCAGTGACCACCAGAGCATGGCTGCAATGCTGTTTGCACTGAGCGTAGACATGCTGCTGTTATTTTCATTATTCTCTTTCCTTTGTTGCTTTTCCCTCAGCAGACACCACTGCCTATCAGGCTGTCCCTTGGAGTGATTTCTACATGCAGGAAGCTCAGTTCTCAAATCAGCTGCACTCCCAAATGCCATTTTTTAGCACAGCAGAAGGACAGAACTTCCCAGAGCCATCTCTTCTTCAAGTGCCCAGTGGAACAGCACTGGGATCCATGTCACAGGCTGGAAAGCAAAAGGGAGTCACACCAGACCAGAGTTCAAACCAGAGCCACCAAACAGAGCCAGAGTTGGCATGGCCATGGCTCGCTGAAAGAGAGATGATGTAGAGTGTTGTAACAAGAAAGGAGACACCACTGTTGGTAACTGAAAGGCCAGCTGATTCTTTTTTTGGGGAGAAAAGGAAAGAATTCCAAGACAGCAGTAGCTCCTATGAATGCAGGATCAAAACTGTGGCATGAATGGGAATGGAACTTCCTTTTTTCTGGTCTGCCATCCGAGGCTGGTCCCGTTATCTTGTACCTGGTTCTTAGATTCATCTGTTCATAGAAAGGGGGACTTAGAAGTCAGTAAAATAGATGCCAAAGTTCTGTCTTCTCTCAGACAACATCTGTTGTGAGCTGAATGGCTGCACAGGACTGACAATTTCTAAGATTTCCAGAGGTATAAACACCTCTCTTCAAGGCAGAACTTCTTCAGCACGAGAGGGGAAAAGAGAAGAGAGAGCTTTCTGTCTGGATTTCCATTTCCAGGCTTTTTCTTTTTTGGAAACAAGATTATTCTACTTTCAAATGGTTGAAAGGTGTCATATGCCTTAAATATTCTTTGGATGTGTATGGGGGTATATGTGTGTCTAATTTTGAAATATGAGACATTTGAAAAATACAAAGTATTTTGTTCTATAGTTTTCCATTGTCTTCTTTCCCCCTTTAGTGACACGTCTGCCCCATCCCAGGAGGCAAAACCAAGCACAATTGCAGACACCTTGCACCCAGCATCACATATTTCCTTCACATCCTGAAGCCAGGGCTTAGCTCTAGCCTTTACCTTTACCACTGCTGCCAGAACAACTTGGCAGCACACAAGTCAGGAATAATATTCCAGTTCAGGTCTCCCCGCCGCCGGGGCCAGCCGCAGCGCTCGGGCTCAAAGTCCCCTCGCCGGC